CACGTTGTGGTAACGGTTTCATCAGAAGGCCCCACAGAACGCCGTTCCCTCTCATATCCTTTGATCCAATCTGTGCTCACACATATTGTCATAATTAATTGTAACCCGGCAACATGCGCCAGACCACAACGGAGTGACCCGGTCTGCTTCGGAGAGGCAGAACGTGAGAGAACATCGCGGTACTTCACACAAACATAAACAGAAAACAGCACACACTGTTTCGGACAGTTTTCAACCTACTGTGATCTTCTTAGCCGGCAGCTAATCCACAGACAGGAGATTAGTGGTTATTCAAAGTACTTGACATTCTGTACATCTTCAAAGCGTTGTTATAAATTGCAAATTTTGTATTCTAATGGACACTATGCCCTAGGAAGTATCAAAAAGATTCTTCGGCATTCTTTCTTTGCTAGTTAGAATTGTTTTAAACGATGTCACAGCTTTTACATTAATTTGTTTGTAATATCTGTTGTTTCAGAAATAGTTGCAGTATCGTTCTGAATACGTACTTATTCTTCGGAAAATAACAATACAAAACACACAAGGGGAAATTCACAAATTTAAACAAGTAACACCAGCCAGTGACACAGTGACGGAGGATGACAGGTGATCAGTTGATGCTCCGTGCGTGTAGCAGACGGGATGCCACGTACGCGAAGCAACTATACAAACACAACGTGCTTTGGAATCCGTCAGTTGCGTGACTGTGAATGTCTGATTCCGTCACCCCACACGTCATCAAGAGGGAACGAATATGCTGGAGAGGAATGGCTTTTCGCAAAGGCCAACGACTGACGAGGACCCTAGTTAGCACCCATCGTCAAAAGTGCAGTTGACATGCAGTCCATTTCCCTATTACTATCAAGAGCCGCTTGGGTACTTTGTTGCTTGTTCAGTGTCGGCACCTAGCAGCATGTATGTAATCTGCTTTAAGCGTATCTAACTCATGTTTTAGCTGAAATTAAGTGGAGTCACACTTCGAAGTTAATAGGGGATGCAAGCACAATGCAGAAGGGGCCGTGTTTTAGGAACCGCAGTTCTGAAGCCGACACACGCAAAAATTTCGCATCACAAAATTCTAAGCTGTGTGATATGGAATACCTATTCATGAACTGGTGGCTGATTGGTTATTGGTTTATGGAGGGTCTAACGATACTGGTTCAATTGTCAAAGTTATGTAGTATCAGATGCCTGGTTGATTTATTAATGATGAATTTGAAAACGTCTGCAATCTGTTATCGGAGAATCAGCAGGGTAACGGAAATTGGTATAACCAGTTTCAAAACAAATATGTCAATGTCTGTTTAAAATTGTATTCGGTTTGTAGCTAAAGAAAACTAGGTGACGAAATAAAATGGTTTAAGCAGAAATTATATATTTCTGCACGATTTATGTGCAGAAAGAAGTGAAACTCAGAAAGCATACAAAACACCACTGAGCATGAATCACCGTTTTCCACCACTTATGGTTGCAAATATACCTTTGCCTTAATCAAAACAGCCGCAGGAACTTCATTATAAAAATGTATCTCGAGACTATACAAGAGAGAGATATTATGTATTCGTATGTAACACGCCTTCCTGAGGCTACAATTAACTATATAAAATAATGGAACTATTTCTCCTGATCTGCAAATTTCAGGTTACTTGAAAATTTGTCTGAGCCACGAAAGTTTAGTCTCTAAAATAACTGGAAATTAAGACATTTTTTCCTTCAACCTAATGATTCAGAATTCTTCCAGCCTCACATCCAGAAAATAATGGTAGCTCATTATCTGGCGAGAAAGGCAGTTTAAATAAGGATCTAATTATTCTTCTCCATTTAGTGACGAACTGTAAATGTGGGTATATAAATCTATGTCTTCTGTAAGTTCCAGTGGCATAGTTTTTCTGTAGGCCTAGTTTTATACAATATTTCTGCATAAGTAATTATTTAAGAAATGCTATTGTAGTTGGCTGCCGTCTGGCGTGTTTATCAGCTGACGTATGCGAATATACATACACAATGGTTAGTTTTTTATAAGAGTTAATTTATTTGCAGATTTCACGTGATTACAATTTCTCTGCATTAAAGCCGCTTGTGAAAAATTAATCTAAATTCTGACAGGTGCGTACAAGAAAGGATCAAGGAAACAAATACGGTTCAATGCTGTAACCTTTGGACTCCCAACTGGAGAACGCAAATATGAAAAGAAAAAAAAAACTTTCAAATACTTTCAAATTTCCTACTCCTCACTTCGGGGAAAAAAAAACAACAACTTTCAAATATTTTCAAATTTCCTACTCCTCACTTCGGGTGGAAATATATGGGAAGTAAACAGTCTCATGTCTACACTGCGTTAGAATTTTCGTTATCTACACGAGCTATAATTTTATCCATAGTTATTAAGAAAGCTAATATTAATAAGTGTCAGTTAGGAACAAACATGCCAAGACTCAAGAGACATGCATAAGAAATATTGACGTAATATCAAGTTACAAGTTTTGTATGAGATAAATTACAACTGAACTCAAACTAACAAAAGTCTTATTCTTTTGGAATCATGTGCGTGAATGGTGAATTAACAGCCTATGACTTAAATTTCTGAAGGCAATATTTTGTCTGTAACGTCATATCACACCGACGTTTCAATGCCGAAAATGCAGGTCTGTCTCTGTTAGAAATTATATTCGTATCTGTGGCATTACTCCAATTATTACTGTAAACTCAAGGCTGAATAATAAAGTTGTTTTATGTCTTCTTCAAATATGTATTTCTGACACCACTGACCTAAATACGGAAGGGAAAGCACATAATATATCGTCATAACCCTCGTGATACTAATAACAGTGCAAAGAATCTTGACGAGATTTGAACAGAGTACTTCACGTCCATTATATCCCATACAGATATTGATAACTGATTAGCTCTTTAAAGCGAAAGTTGGTCATAATAATATTTAAATAAGTCCTTACCTCAAAGAAGACTAATTATAGAGAATGTAGTTAAAGCCACTTGAGGAAATAATCGCTGCTTAACCACTATGTTTCAAAGGATTAATAACGTTATATAAAACAACAGAATAAAGTAATGCAACTTACTGAGTGCTGTGAGGTTGATAAACTGTACAACGGAACATCCCTGCCGTACTTCTAAAAACGTGATCTCGCATTTGTACACAGCTTCATCAGCTACTTGCAGCTGCTTCACCTCCAGATAAGATTCCGTGTCATTCTGTTTGTAATGCAGACTTGCCCTGAAATACAGAACGTCAACAAATGAGAGTGGCCTGTCTTTCAGTAACTAGACATCAAACACACATTCCTCCCACCAGTTTGAGTACAATGCAAACAAGCATATCATAACGTAATTCATTTATGGTACATCCATTACATAAGTACACAATCCTGAGACTGGGGCTATTTGTGACTTGTCAGTTCTGTGAAATCTTGCTAAACCTTAACCTATTCACATTAAGTATAACGTGAGAGCATAGAATGCGTCAAAATGACAGGTGGAAACAACGAAATGCCTACAATGAAACACAATCTGGAGACTGATCAAATTGAATACTATTGAAACCAAGAGGTAGACAAATTGTAATTGTAAGGAGCTCCAAATCTTGGCCTGCTAAGAATACCCATACTCCAATTCACACACACAAATGCAATTTTAATTGAATTCTGGATTAAAACTAGGCCAACAATCAGCTGTTCTTTACGGAACATCAAGAATAAATATATTTTCTGGTCTCCTGCTTATTCTGACATCAAACCTAACCACGTTATATATCAAGGACTGCAAAATACAACACAGGAATCCCGTAATATTTCAAAACCCATAATTATAAACGGGTATTTAGTACCAATTTGTAAACAGTATGTGATTAATAAATTAAATGTAATAATTTTAACATTAATGGGATAAGATATGTTAAATAAACAGAATTATACACAAAAACATTTTCACATTCTTCTGAACTGAGACAATGTACTATGTCGGAAACTGCTTAACTTCAATGTTTATTTCCAGGTAGTTAATTTAAAACAATCATTAGAAAGCTGGTGCATATGATAACTGTCAAAGTGATACAGGCTCACACTAGCGCTTTCCAACACACTATAAAACCAATTTAAAATTGCAATCAATTCAATTGGCATGCAAATTCCATGATACGGAAATCATATCATATTACATTAAAGCAAATCTACATAGAAAATTTATGGTACTTTTACATAAATAGTTGTAACGTTTGAAAGGTGTGAAATCGGTTAATATAGAAAATATTCAACAATAAAAACTGTTTTAATTAAACATCAAAGAAACAGAAAAATGTTTAATACGGTATGCAGATGCAATACAATATATAATTACTAATTATGAAACTATAAGATTTCTACAATTGGCAGGTCGTGTTTTACTATTCAAGGGACTAAGATGTGTTGTTTATGGTTTAATTCTGTCTCTTAATCCCTAACTTCAACAATGGGAAGTGTAAATCAGAGAGAACCATAAGACTGATTTCGGATGTTCATCTAAATTCTCCATAAAGCTTCCGATAAAAATATTCTTGCAACGAAGTCTTCTTGGACGGACCTCCGTACAAGCAAGGAGTTCCAGTGCAACGTTTCGGAGACTGTATCTGTCTCTATAATAGGGGTATCCGGTTTTTACGAATTCAGGAAGTGAAACTCGTAACATCTAGAAAGCATACGACAGGGCTCCGGGAAAATGCAGTAACTTGAAAATGCGAGATAGTTATAACAAGCAAGTCTGCAGAAGTATATGAAAAAAGACAGGAAAACTAATGCCACGCCCCTAATAAAGTCCTGATAGAAGAACCGACTAATAACTTTGAATATTCGAAAATTTAGCACAGCTCTGCATTATCTGAAACCCGGATGTGTTACTTTAATATCATCTCATATCAATCATTTTAGTCAAACTTTTCTTACGAGGAACTGGGAACCTTCAAAAGAATGAGACACAAACACCTACGAACGTCAATTCATACTAGCAACAGCTTTGTTGAACTCTGAAGCAATTCACACTGCAATTGTATAGTCTCACTTCGTGACCAGAAGGAACTTCCTTTCTAGACAAAATCAAACAGACCTTTGGGTTGATGCTTTGGTGAAGGACTAGGAACGGATCGAGATTTTCTCCCACATAGAAACGTCTGCTACAGACACACATCTGATATCCGCTACAGTTCAAACACGCAGCAGCCATAAAGGCGCCAAGAGAATACCTTCGGAAATGATTCCAAGCGCTGGGATATTTAATTGGTTTTATCCCAACCCAGTTCTGACATCTCACTTCTATAGCTCCTTTTAAAGAAACTGTGATCTTACGGGCTTTCTGTTAAAATAGAAACAACGGACACGTTTCAATAAAGATAGGAACAGACCAAAGCTTTGGAGATACTGGAACAAGACGTTCTCGGAGCACTTTGTGACTAACCACTTCCCTCTAATTGTTTCAGATGATCATGAGGCTGACAGAAATTACAGCTAAGTAATTCGGCCTACGGAATTTATCATTTGTTTGCATTACTTTCGCTAGAAAAAGCTTCTTAATACAGTCAAAGGTAAACTTACTTTAATTTCGTAACAGTTGTAACTAGCGTATAAGTGCAAGAACTGGGCAATTCTTAAGTAAGAAAACGTCCGTGGGTTAGCACACGAATCTAAAGATCTAATTACAATTTCCACACGATTAGCAAGGACCAATGGCAAACTACTACTCTTCGTTTCGGTCGTCTTGTACTATAAAACTTACTGTAATCCGATATAGTGCACATTTATTCTTTTTGTCAATATCACAACTCTTTAAATATACCATGCCCAATTGAATGAAATTTTATACGCATTACATAAAAAATGTATATAGTACATAAGAAACTAATATTAAACCCTATTCATTTACTTTAATTCTTAAATTTCAGAACTCACCGACTCTATAAGTCATATTTTATTAATTTTTAATTCATATTATTGGGCAACTATATTAGTATGTAATGTTATTATTGCAATTTATTGTCACGTTTTCTTACTAAGTTTCGACACAAAATAAACAGAATATTTTGCTGATGAAAAATTCTTGAAAATGGCCGAGTAAAAAGAGATATCAGGATAGGTTTAAATGGGATTAAATCCACATCAATAAAATATTTTTCAAGCATAATGCTACGGAGCGTCTTATGTCTGAGGGAGGAAGACGGAATGAGAATTTGTACATGTAATTTTTCTCTCTCTTCATTTGTTAATTCCGATGAGTAAAGACTACGACTTCCGTAACACAGTATCTTTGTCACACATTATGTCACCACAGGATGGATTCTGACACGCACAAACCGATTTACTGCATCAGATGATGAATCCTAGACCAGAATCGGGCAAACGGTAGAACACCGCGAGTGTTGACTGAGTAAGTCTACGCCATGGCAGACAGAAGCGCACTTCTCAAACAGACCGTGCGGAAACACATTGTTACGCCACATTCAGAAGGCACCAACCATACAATTTCTAGCGCCGTTTCTGGAAGCGATGAACAATCAGCAGATGAATAGGATACGACAGAGCAGCGTTACACGGTGTGCTGCGCTGTAGTATTGAATCGGAAGCCTTTTCGACAACTCCGATGTTCCATAGACATCTATCTGTGGAAAAGATGTCCATATTTTATGTACAGTCTGCTAGGAAACAGAAGTTCAATAACCCTCATTGCTTCTATAAAACGAAAGATTATTTTTCACAAAAAAGCCTTTGGGGAAATCTTCAGTTTGCCAGTGATAAGGAATTCTGGATTCTGAAGAAATATGAATTAATCAGAATTAGTACCTAAACTTCTTAATTATGCCGTATAATCCGTTACAGATACAAACACAGCTTGATAACGTAACCTCTGAATAGTCTAATAATATATGTCTACTGTTTATCCTAGGTATACTGTCACACAATGTGTTCACTTAAAATTAACATGTATCTACAGCACATTAGAAGATAATATGTCTGTCATAAAGAATACAAGTTTCAGTGTCTAATTACATTTCATTAACTCGTGACAGTTAAAGCAGACACGTTGAAATATTTGAAATAACATTCAAACACTAGAAGCAACTTCCAAAATTATGGTGTCAATTTCGTGGACCTGCGAAGTGAACCACAGGATGTGATGTTTTTAACTGCTTTCGTTTCCAATTTTGAACGAGGTTACGAAAGTGGAAATAGCAATATCAGTAAATCTAAACTTTGCTTCAGTTGAGGTTGAATTGAGTGTTACTGGACGCTATATACGTACGAGTACGATGGGGAGCGAAACAAGACAGCCAGCCAGCTAGAAACGAATCACAAGACCTGCACATAAATATATTGTAAAAGTTTCAAATTGCCTGGAGAATGGGAACATCCTAAACCTTTCACAGAAGAAAATATTAAGACTCAGAAGGAAAGTGACAGACAGTACTTGCTCGAAAAGTATCGTTAACTTTTTTTTTTAAAAACAAAAAAGCCTTTTTCAGCAGCCCTGTAGTTCCTGACATGTTGTTATGGCAACTCCTACAACAATTCGAGTTCAAATACATTAAAAGGTGGAACATGACGCAGATCTGTTCACAACCAAAAAATACACGCTTATGCTCTTTATTGTCATATAATCTATATAAACTGTTGGTACCAACTTTCAAAAAAATCATTCAGCTCAATAAGCAGACCTACGTTTTTGTGATCACTGGTCTTTGTGGTAGTGGAAACTGAAATGCAGTATTTCCTTCAAGGTATTCTTATCATCGGCTTCAAAGTATCACGAGTAATATGGAAGGGAGTAGTATACTGGACAGTTTTCACAAATTATAAATAAATAACTTACTCAGATTTAACACTGTACTTTAACGCTGGGACGTTGTGGGCATTTTTCCAGAGGCGTACAGTTACATTAATATTAAAATTTATTTTTGATATCGGAAGAATGCTAACTATCAAAACAATTATTTAAGCAGAATCTATCTCATGAACAATGCTCACAGTTACCCACTTAGTCGCAACGAAGCTTGTAAACGCATCAGATAAGAGAAGGATATGCAGTTAGTATCTGTTCCTTACTATGGGAGACCAGCTTTCTTTACTGTCTCAAATGGCTTATTAGCTGATAGCTCTTACTAAACTCGTGAAACGAGCATGATAGAGGTGTTACACTCTGACCAAGCAGAGAAATATAAAGTCGTGATGGTTTCCAGTGCTACAGCTGCTATAGTCT